ACTGTTGTTTATTGGATACAAGACAAGGGGGCAGGGTAAGGAGTGTGAGCCATCTCCAATGATAGGTAAGGTCACGTGGGTCACATGTCCACTGGACAGGGGGCCCTTCCCTGTTTGGTAGCTGAGGCAGGGGGAGAGAGAGAGGAGACAGCTTATGCCATTATTTTTGCATTTCAGAGACTTTCACTACTTTCACTAATTCTGCTACTGCTATCTAGAAGGCAGAGCCAGGTGTACAGGATGGAACATGAAAGTGCACCAGGAGTGTGACCGCTGAAGCACAGCATCCCACAAGGAGACAGGCCTCCAGATAAATCTTCACAAGAGGTGGTGGAGCAGAGTCTTCTGTAACTCCCCCAGGGAAAGGGAGACTCCCTTTCCCAGTCTGCTAAGTAGGGGGTGCTTTTCCTAGGCACTGACGCTACCGCTAGACCAAGGTCCACTAGGTAACGGGCATCTTCCCAGGTGCTGGCATTACCACTAGACTAAGGAGCCCTCTAGTGGCCCTGTCCAGGCATAACAGAAGGCTCACACTCGTCTTCTGGTCACTTCTCAGCATGTCCCTTCAGCTCCTGTCTCTGTATGGCCTGGTTTCTCCTAAGTTATAATTGTAGAGCGAAGATTATTATAACATTGGAATAAAGAGTAATTGCTACAAACTAATGATTAATAATGTTCATATGTAATCATATCTATGATCTATATCTAGTATAACTGTTCTTATTTTATATGTGTTCTTTATTATACTGGAACAGCTCATGCCCTCGGTCTCTTGCCTCGGCACCTGGGTGGCTTGCCTTCCACACTGGGAAATGTCTCAGTAACACGTCCTGAGTTGACAGGGTAGGATCTGAGTAATAAATCTGTGAATGAGCCCTTGGGGGCTGAAATCAGGAACTCTGCAGGGACCCCAAAGCCCAGAACCCAAAGTTAAACAGTGTTATGTGTCAGTTTGCTGGTGCTGCGGAATCAAAGACTCTACATTCAGTGCAATGGAACAACCACATCATGATTGCTCCTGAGTCCATAGGTCATCTCATGAGTCTGTTGATCTGGGCCAGGCTCAGTTGACCTCGATAGGGGGGTCACTCACACATCTGTGCTCAGCAGGTAGATAGACTGGACCCTTGAGCATGGGGAGACTGCGCCTGGCCTGAGATCACCTTCTAGCCCTTCCTCAAGCTCCAGTCAGGACACAGAGACCCCCTTGGACCCACTCCTGCCACAGGCTGGGGTCCCAAAGATGGCTCGTGGTCTCCTCAGGAGCCCTCCTCTTCCCTCTCCCACAGCCGTCTTGGCCTCTCTCTGCATCCTCAGCCTTCTCTGATCACATGGAGCCCCCAGGTGAGCCCAGGAAGGACTGGGAAGCTGAGGGAGGGGCGTGGCTCCCAGGAGATCCCAGGCTGGCACCCTCCTGCCCTTCCACCTGGACCTCACCAGCTCTGTCCCCTCCAGTGGCCCCCATGGGTGCTTATCTGATGCTGTGCCAGCCACAGGCAAGATGTGGGGACACGTTCTATGACCCCCTGCAGCACTGTTACTATGACAATGCCGTCTTGCCCTTGGACGGGACCCAGAGGTGTGGAAACTGCACCTTCAGAGTGTGCTTCGAGAAGTGCTGCCCCTGGTCCCTCAGTCCCCAGGCGGCCCTCATGGTGAAGATGAAAGGCCAGAAGTGCTCCTTGACCCTGACCTCAGATGACAGGTTTTGTCACAGGTGAGGTCCTGTCTCCTCCATGAGATTGTGGGTGCAGGGGGCTGCATGCCTGTTCTGCCCTGAGTAGAGCCCCCGTTCTCTGTGTCTGTCCTGCCTCTAGTCAATCCACCTCCCCCTTTCCCTACAGCTGTGTTTCTTCCTCCCTTCGTTTTTATTTTCCTCTCACAACCTCACTCTCTCAACACTGCTGGCCTCTCCTCCTGACTCTCCTGGCCTCCTTTCTGCACTGTTCAGTCTCTCCCCCATCTCTGGCCTGCTCAGAGTCTCTCTCTTCAGTGTCACCTCAGACTGGAGGGCAGTGGCTCAATCACAGCTCACTGCAGCCTCAACCTCCCAGACTCAAGCGATCCTCACACCTCAGCCTCCAGAGTAGCTGGGACCACAGGTGAGCACCACTGTGCCCAGCTAATTTTTGTATTTTTTGTACAGACAGGGTTTCACCATGTTGTTCAGGCTGGTTCTTAAACTCTTGGGCTCAAACAATCCTCTCTCCTCATCTTCCCAAAGTCCTGGGATTAAAGGTGTGAGTCACTGTGCCCAGCCAGGACAGGAGCCCTAGACTGACCCTGGCTGCCCTCCCCGCATCACAGATGGGGTTTTGCCATGTTGCCCAGGCTGGTCTTGAACTCCTGAGCTTAAGTGACCTGCCTGCATTGGCCTCCCAAAGTACTGGGATTACAAGTGTGAGCCACCACACCCGACACCTTCCCTTCCCTTCCCTTGCCTTCCCTTCCCTTCCCTTCCCTTCCTTTCTCTTCCCTTCCCTTCTCTTCGCTTCTCCTTCCTTCCTTTCTTCTTTCTTTTTTCTTTCTTTCCCTCTTTCCTTCCTTTTTTTTCAGGGTCTCACTCTGCTGCCCAGGCTGGATGGCAGTGGTCAGTCTGATCATGGCTAATTGCAGCCTGGAACTCTTGAGCTCAAGCGATCCTCCTGCCACAGCCTCCCAAGTAGTTGGGAACACAGGTGCATGCCACCATGCCAAGCAGTTAAATTTTTTTTTGTTGTAAAGACTGGATTTTACCATGTTGTCCAGGCTGGTCTGGAACTCCTGACCTCAAGCAATTATTCCTCCTTGGCCTCCCTAAGTGCTGGGATTACAGGTATGAGCCACCATAGCCTGCCACTTCTTCATTCTTGTTGACTTTGTGTCACTGGAAAAAAAAATAAATTCTACCCAGTATGTAGCTTACCACAGTCTATGGCTTACCACAGTCATGCAGTTTCACTACAAGGCAGTTTCATATATAGAAATGAAACCATGGGTGTTTCTGGATGGGCTGTCCTCAACATTTGTGCTGGAATAAACTCTCTTTAAATTAGATTCTGACCATTTTGATCACCAGGTTGACACCATCCTGTCTTTGGTCACCAAAGCCCCTTTGCAGGGAGAGAGAGATCAGCCCCTTCAATTCTGATAACTATGCTTGGAGAAAGTGAGTGACACAGCTTCCTCAGCCAGCAAAGAGAGATGTCCAGGCTGGAGAGCTTCCGTCCCTCCTCTAGACATGTGCGATGCCACCCCATTCCTGCCTGTCCCCTGGGAGGGACTCCTTGAGGCCAGATGGAACTAACACCACAAAGATGCCCCATGGAAGAGTCGTCGTATTTATTCCGGGACAAAAGGGCAAGTGAAGAGAGAGCCTTTGAGAGCGGGAAATGTCAAGGCCCCTGGGGTTTCACATTCCAGGAGCCCAGCTCTGCCAGCCCCACCGAGGAACCCTGGGAATGTCAGATTTTGGGTCTCATCGAGGGATATCTGTGACCAAGGCCTGCCTCCCCTTTCCAGAGGGGCTGGGCCAGCGGAGGCGGGGTGGGGCGGCAGTTGGAGGCATGTGGACTGGAGTGGACTGGAGTTCAGGAAACCCGGGCTCTGGTCCAGCCTGTGTCTGTGACCAGCAGTTGGTCTGTGTCCTGCTTGGATGGATTAGAAAGTGGGATGGGACAATTAAATGTCTGTCTGAGGTCAGAATCTTGCACTTACTCGCCAGAAAAACAGAACCTCCTTTCACTATGGGCAGAGTTCAAGTTCCAAACCCTGAGGATCAGTTCCACCAAGACAGAGCTGGGCTCCAGTGCCAAAGACAGACCTGTCCCCAGACAGTGGATAGGATAGGGCGGGGGACTCCGTGGGGCTGGTGGAGGGATTGGACAGCGCTGTGTGCAAAGGCTTTTTTGACACCTGGAGAAGGAGCAGGGACAGGAGCTCTGGACTGGCCCTGACCGCCCTCCCTGCTTCCCAGCCTCTGAGAGCCCCCTGTGCTGTCATGATCTCCCTCCACTGTCTCACCCCGGGCCTGACTCAGCCACCTGAGAGACCAGGCTCGGGCCAAGGAGGGTTGGCTGGACTCCTCTCTCCTCGGGACCCAACCCTAATCCTGACCCAAGAAACCTGCTTTCTCCCACCAGTGTCTAGGGCTCTACCTGCCTTGAGCCATCCCAGGAAACGCCTGGAACCATGGTTTGAGAGATGAACCTCATTATTGGAAGATGTGTTGGGGCATCTAAGTCAGTAGCACTTAGGCAAGAAGGAAGCCAGGCCATGCCTGCACCCTTCTTCATTCCTTAAAAAAAATTTTTTTTTAATTGAGACGGAGTCTTGTTCTGTTGCCAGACTGGAGTGCAGTGGCGCGATCCCAGCTCACTGCAACCTCCGACTCCCAGGTTCAAACGATTCTCCTGCCTCAGCCTCCTGAGTAGCTAGGCCTACAGGCATGTGCCACCATGCCCAGCTAATTTTTGTATTTTTAGTAAAGACAGGGTTTCACCATGTTGGCTAGGATGATCTCGATCTCCTGAACTCGTGATCTGCCCACCTTGGCCTCCCAAAATGCTAGGATTACAGGCATAAGCCACCGCGCCTGCTCTAAATTTTTTTAATTTTTATTTTTCATTTTTTGAGACAAGATCTCGCTCTGTCACCCAGGCTGCAGTGCAGTGGTATGATCTCAGCTCACTGAAACCTCCACTTCTCGGGCTCAGGAGATTCTCCTGCTTCAGCCCCTGAGTAGCTGGGTCTACAGGCCCATAGCAGTACGCTCGGCTAATTCTAATTTTTGTATTTTTTGTAGATACGGAGTTTTGTCATGTTACCCAGCCTGGTCTTGAACTCCTGAGCTTAGGTGACCCACGTGCATTGGCCTGTCAAAGTGCTGGGATTACAGGTGTGAGCCACCACACCCAGCCCATTTCTTTTCTTTTCTTTTTTTCAGGGTCTCACTCTGTTGCCCAAACTGGAGTGCAGTGGTCTGATCATGGCTAATTTCAGCCTGGAACTCTTGAGCTCAAGCAATCCTCCTGCTACAACCTCCCAAGTAGTTGGGACCACAGGTGTGTGCCACCATGCCCAGCTTTTTAAAAAAAAATTTTGTAAAGACTGGATTTTGCCATGTTGCCCAGGTTGGTCTTGAACTCTTGGCCTCAAGCAATTCTTCCTCCTCGGCCTAAGTGCTGGGATTACAGGCATGAGCCACCATGCCCTGGCCACGTCTTCATTCTTGTTGGCTTTGCTTCCCTGGAAAAATATAAATTCTGCCTCAATATGTGACTCGCCACAGTCACGAAGGAAGATTTCACAAGGCAGTTCATAAAAATCTGTGCAGTGCACACTAACCCATTTTTGTGTCCGTTTTTTGAATTAAAAAAAAATTGTCTATGACGTACTCAAGGAGTCATACCACCCAATAATACGTTGCCACCCTTAGTATGGAGGACAGTAATCTTTCCCGAGCTGCAAATGGGCAAGCCAGGAGAGCAGGGAGCAATGGAGAAAGAGAACACGCTGTCTCCTCTCCACAGGGGAGGAGGGGACTGCAGGCCCCTCATGACTGCACCATTACCCAGCTGCAGGCTCAACCCTCCTCTCCAACCTCCTCACAAGAGAGATGCAGGGATGTTCTACAACCATAAATCCGATCACTTCCATCCCCTGCTTAGGCCTGGGCCATGCTCAGTGCCCTCAGGATAGACTCTGGAGTTTTCCAGGGGCCCGTAAATGCCCCAGCCTTGCTGCCCACTCCAGTCTCCTCTTCCTGCCTTGCATTCTGGCCTCTCTGGGTTCAGCCTCACCGAAACAGGCACAGTTCCCATTCATTCTTGAAACAGTAGCTCAGACGTCTTCTCCAAGAAGACATCGCTGGCCTCTCAGGCTGGGTCGGGCAACCACTGTGGGCTCCCAAACCTTTCCACTTCCCCAACCCAGCCCTGACTCTCTGAGTCATCAAGGCCTGAGGACAATCTGTGTTCCCAGTGATGGCACATGGCCCGCTATTATGTCTCTGCTGCATCCTCAGCAGCACGTCAAGCAGGGCTGGGCCCACAGATGGCCCTCGATGACTGTTTATTATTAATACCAGGTGGTTAAATATGTCACCTCTTGTTCATCCAGAAGACAATAGAGCCACAGGGCCTGGTGAGCTCCATTTTACCTGGAAGGCACCTGAGGCTCACAGAGGCCAAGTCTCTCCTCCTGTTGCACCCAGCGATTATCTGAGACCCAAGCCTCTCTGGTTGCAGAGCTGGACTCTCAGCCAGCCCCATGCTGGGGTGGGGGTTGGGGAGCTTGGAGGTGGGGAGCTGGGTGCCTTGGCTGTTTGCTATATAGGGTGATCATCCCCTATGGTGCAGAGAGTGTGGTCAGGTGTGGGAGAGGCCAAAGGGACCCTGGCAGCACTTGTGCATGGTACAAAGCCTGGGAACCACACATGTCCCCCTGGCAAGGAACAAAGGGGTTTGTTAAAGGCCATTAGACAATCCTGGAATCTCTGAGCAGGGTTTGGGGTGGAAGGAGAACCTTGTGTGTGACACCAGTGCAAACTTCCACATCCACCCCCGGGGCTGGGCTGATGATGATGCCTCAGCTTCTACCTGGGAGACACCAGAGCTGGCACCATGGGCAACTCGGGAGCCAACCATGGAGATTTTCCTGAATCCTCAACTCCTGGTGGGTCTGGACACCACGTGGCTCCCCCATCACAGGATCACAGGATGGTCTCAACACCTCACCTGCTGGACTGGGCCCTCACACTGATGCACATCTAGAAGGGGACCAGGTCGTGGAATAGCCCCAGGCCTGTGCCTGGGCTCAAGAACTCACAGGGTCAGATATAAAGCTGTGTAGACGTGAGTGTGGGAGGTAAGGACCCAAAAGCGTCCTGCAATTTCCTGTTTTCTTTCTTTCTTTTTTTCTTTTTTTTTTGAGACAGGGTTTCACCCCTGTTGCCCAGGCTGGAGTGCAGTGGTGCGATCTCAGCTCACTGCAATCTCCATCTCCCTGGTTCAAGTGATTCTTATGCCTCAGCCTCCTAAGTAGATGGGATTAAAGGCATGTGCCACTACACCCAGCTTATTTTTGTATTCGTAGAGACAGGGTTTCACCATGTTGGCCTGGCTGGTCTTGAACTCTTGAGCTCATGCCATCCATCCACCTTGGCCTTCTAAAGTGCTAGGATTACATATGTGAGCCACCCCACCTGGCCTCTGATTGAAATTTTTTATTGAAATTCGGGCCGGGCACGGTGGCCCATCCCTGTAAACCCAGCACTTTGGGAGCCCAACACAGGTGGATCACAAGGTCAGGAGTTCAAAACCAGCCTGGCCAAGATGGTGAAACCCCATCTCTACTAAAAGTACAAACATTAGCTGGGCATGGTGGTGGGTGCCTGTAATCCCAGCTACTCGGGAGGCTGAGGCAAAGAATTGCTTGAACCCAGGAGGCCGGGGGTTGCAGTGAGTCGAGATCGCGCCACTGCACTCCAGCCTGGGTAACAAGAGCGAGGCTCCATCTCCAAAAAAAAAAAAGAAAGAAAAAGAAAAGAAAGAAATTCAAATGTGGGGTTACTATGGTATTTAGTACATCTATATTGTGTATGCTGGATAGTTTTCATAAACACATTGTGATAGATTTCCCGTGTTATGGCTCATTTCTAGGGTCCCAGCATAGAGGCACCTCATGGAGCCCTGCCAGATGTCACGCGAGTCCATGTGAAGAGAGTACACCAACAGGCTTTGTGTGAGCAACAAGGCTGTTTATTTCACTTGGGTGCAAGTGGGCTGAGTCCGAAAAGAGAGTCAGTAAAGGGAGAAAGGGGTGGGGCAGTTTTATAGGCTTTGGGTACGTACTGGAAAATTACAGTTAAAGATGGTTATCTCTTGTGGGCAGGGGTGAGGGTCACAAGGTGCATGGTGGGGAGATCATGAGACTCATTGTCCAGGGGAGGAATGTCACAAGGTTGGTTGATTAGTTGGGGTGGGGCAGGAACAAATCACAATGATGGAATGTAATGTTTTGTAGTTCTTCAGCTGCCTCAGGCCATCTGGATGTATATGTGCAGGCTTGGGCTCAGAGGCCTGGCATTCCCGTCTTCTTATATTAATAAGAAAAACAAAACAAAATAGTGGTAAAGTGTTGGGGCAGCGAAAATTTTTGGGGGTGGTATGGAGAGATAATAGGCGATGTTTCTCAGGGCTGCTTTGGGCGGAGTTAGGGGCGGTGTGGGAACCTTGAGTTGGAAAGATTAAACTGAAGAAAGATTTTGGAGTGAGGGGTGATATTGTGGGGTTGTTAGATGGAGAATTTGTCATATAGAATGATTGGTGATGGCCTGGATGTGGTTTTGTATGAATTGAGAAACTAAACGGAAGACACAAGGTCTGAATAAGAAAAGGAGAAAAACAGGTTTTAAAGGACTAAGAATTGAGAGGACCCAGGACATCCAATTAGAGAGTGTCCAAGGGGAGTTCAGTGTAATTATTTGCTTGGTTGGCGAGTTTTTGGGCTCTATCCTTGAGTTTTTTTGTGTTGTCATATACCAGGCCAGATTGATTTAGGTAAAAACAACACTCTTCATTTAAAAATATAGAGTCAGCAACGGCAGCAAAAGCCAAAATTGACAAATGGGATCTAATTAAACGAAAGAGCTTCTGCACAGCAAAAGAAACTACCATCAGAGTGAACAGGCAACCTACAGAATGGGAGAACATTTTTGCAATCTACTCATCTGACAAAGGGCTAACATCCAGAACCTACAAAGAACTCAAACAAATTTACAAGAAAAAAACAAACAACCCCATCAAAAAGTGGGCAAAGGATATGAACAGACATTTCTCAAAAGAAGACATTCATACAGCCAACAGACACATGAAAAAATGCTCATCATCACTGGCCATCAGAGAAATGGCAAATCAAAACCACAATGAGATACCATCTCACACCAGTTAGAATGGCAATCATTAAAAGTCAGGAAACAACAGGTGCTGGAGAGGATGTGGAGAAATAGAACACTTTTACACTGTTGGTGGGATTGTAAACTAGTTCAACCATTATGGAAAACAGTATGGCGATTCCTTAAGGATCTAGAACTAGATGTACCATATGACCCAGCCATCCCATTACTGGGTATATACCCAAAGGATTATAAATCATGTTGCTATAAAGACACATGCACACGTATGTTTATTGCAGCACTATTCACAATAGCAAAGACTTGGAATCAACCCAAATGTCCATCAGTGACAGACTGGATTAAGAAAATGTGGCACATATACACCATGGAATACTATGCAGCCATAAAAAAGGATGAGTTTGTGTCCTTTGTAGGGACATGGATGCAGCTGGAAACCATCATTCTTAGCAAACTATCACAAGAACAGAAAACCAAACACCGCATGTTCTCACTCATAGGTGGGAATTGAACAATGAGATCACTTGGACTCGGGAAGGGGAACATCACACACCAGGGCCTATCATGGGGAGGGGGGAGGGTGAGGGATTGCACTGGGAGTTATACCTGATGTAAATGACGAGTTGATGGGTGCTGATGAGTTGATGGGTGCAGCACACCAACATGGCACAAGTATACATATGTAACAAACCTGCACGTTATGCACATGTACCCTAGAACTTAAAGTATAATAATAATAAAAAATAAATAAATAAATAAATAAAATATATATATATATATACAGTCTTTTTTTTTTTTTTTAAGCAGTGAGTAAGTCAAGCCCTTTGCGTTTTTGGAGGAAAGAGAAATGCAAAACCAGCAGTTGTTTGTTAAAAAAGGATTAGAAACGACTAGGAGAGAGTGAGTGAGATTGATAGTGTGATGGAGATAGCTGGGGAGAGGTAGAGGGAGGCACAAGAACAGGAATGAGAATAAGAGTGAGTATAAAAGCAAAGACTAGGACTTTATCGGGGGAAAGTATTGGAAGGTGCCCTGTCAGCAAAGATTATCTATCCACTCCAAGAGGGAGTCAAGATTGGTGGATTGGGGATAATACTAGGAGATATCCGCTGTGATGGTTTGGAGGGTAAGTGTAAACCGGCAGTGTAAACAGGGGCACAGCATTTATGAGTAGTTGAGAATGGTGAATAGGAGTATGACTAGACAGAAGATAGCAGGAATGACAAGTTTTGAGGGCACAGTCCAAGTAGTGGGGGTGACTGCATAAAGCCCTGTTGTAAAGCATAGGGTAAAGAAGAAGAGACCTTAATAAAAATGAAAAGATATATTAGGCTTATAAGGATTACTATTATCCTTTAGGAATGCGGGTGAGTTTAAGGGAAGTAGGGGTGAGTACTTGCTACTTCCAGGAGGAAGAGGAAAGATTAGACTGGCTGTCTGACAGGCACAGCTTTATTCTGGAATGGTGAACCCAATGGGGAAGGTCCTGCAGATGGACAGCAGTTGGGGTGCTATAGATGACTAGATAAAGTCCTGCCCATCGAGGTTGTAGAGTTTGAGGCATCAGATTCTTAACAAGAACTGATCATACAGCTAGGGTGTCTTCATATGGCTGGGAATCTGGAGTAGGCAAGAGAAGATTAGCAGCCTGGCGAATTTCATGTCTAGCCTGCTGGAGGACTGGAAGATAGCTGCCTAGAGAGCTGGTGTCTGGGATAAGGTTGGGGCCGAGCAAGAAAGTGCGTCCGTATAAAAGTTCAAATGGACTGTACCTTACAGCATCTCAAGGACAGGCTCTAATTCTGAGAAGGGCAAGAGGTAAAATTACTGTCCAGTCCTTTTTAAGTTAGAGGCTGAACTTGGTGAGGTGTGTCTTTAAAAGACCATTAGTCTGTTCTACCTTTCCTGAAGATTGAGGACGGTAAGGGGTATGAAGGTTCCACTGAATATCAAGAGCCTGAGAAACTACTTGGGTGATTTGACTAATAAAGGCTGGTCTGTTATCAGACCATATAGAGGGGGGAAGGCCAAACCGAGGAATTATGTCTGACAGAAGGGAAGAAATTACCATGGTGGCTGTCTCAGACCCTGTGGGAAAGGCCTCTAGCCATCCAGTGAAAGTGTCTACCCAGACCAAGAGGTATTTTAGTTTCCTGACTCGGGGCATGTAAGTAAAGTCAATTTGTCAGTCCTGGGCAGGGGAAAATCCCCAAGCTTGATGTGTGGTGAAGGGAAGGGGCCTGAACAATCCCTGAGGAGTAGTAGAATAGCAGATGGAACACTGAGAAGTGATTTCTTTGGGATAGATTTCCACGATAGAAAGGAAATGAGAGGTTCTAAGAGGCAGGCTAGCAGCTTATAACCTACATGGAAGAGGTTATGAAATGACGACAGAATAGAATGGGCCTGTGAGGCTGGAAGGAGATATTTTCCTTGATCCAAGAACCATTTGCCTTGAGTGGGGAGGGATTGATAGGTGGAAACTTCAGTGGAAGAGTAAGTAGGAGTGACTGATGAGAAGGAAGAAAACTGGCCATGAGGGACAGAAGTAGGAATACTGGCTGCTTCTTTAGCTGTCTTATCAGAGTGGTGGCAGCTGCCACATGCAGACATAAGGGCCAGCCTAAAACAGTAAGGTCAAGTTGTTTGAACAAAAAGGCTATGGGGCACAGTCCTGGTCCTTGTGTAAGAATTCTGACTGCACAGTCCTAAACTTTGGCTGTGTGTAATGAAAAAGGTTGGGCTGAGTCAGGGAGAGCTAGTGTGGGAGCAGTCTCTAGAGCTGTTTTCAAGGAACAGAAAGAGGAGTGGGGAAAGGATTTAGGATCTATGGGGTCAGCTAGGTTTCCCTTTGTGAGTTTATATAATGGTTTTGTTAGGATGGCAAAACCAGGTATCCAAAGGCTGAAGTATCCAACCATGCCCAGGAAGGAAAGGAGTTGTTGCTTTGTAGAAGCAGTTGGGGTTTGAGAGGTCAGCCAGACATGATCTGCAGGGAGAGCACACGTGTTTTCATGAAGAATTATGCTGAGGTAGGTAATGGATGGAGAAGACATTTGAGCTTTGGAGGGGCATACCTGATATCCCTTGGAGAATAAATGTTGAAAGAACAGGAGGGTATCTTGTTGAGAAGATTCAAAGGAGGGGCTACAAAGTAGAAGGTCATCAATATATTGAATAAGGTGAGAAGAAGAGGGGTGGAAAGAAAGTAAATCATGAGAAAGAGCTTGGCTGCAGTAATGAGGGCTGTCCCTGAAGCCTTGTGGCAGTACAGCCCAGGTAAGCTGCTGGGACTGATGGGTGCCAGGGTCAGTTCAGGTAAAAGCAAAGAGAGGCTGGGACAAGGGGTGCAGGGGAATCATGAAAAAAGCATCTTTAAGATCAAGAATGGAATAGTGAGTTGTGGAGGAAGGTATTGAGGACAAAAGAATGTACGGGTTGGGCAATACAGGATGGATAGGCAAAGCAATTTGGTTGATAAGGCACAGATACTGAACTAACCTGTAAGACTTGTCCAGTTTGGGGACAGGTAAAATGGGGGAATTGTAAGGAGAGTTTATAGGCTTTAGAAGCTCATGCTGTAGCAGGCAAGTGATAACAGGCTTTAGTCCCCTTAAAGCCTGTTGTGGGATGGGATACCGGAGTTGAGTGGGGTAAGGGTGATTAGATTTTAATGGGATAGTAATGGGCATGTGATTGGTTTCCAGGGAGGGAGCAGAGGTGTCCCATACTTGTGGGTTAAGGTGGGAGGATACAAGAGGAAGACATGAAGGAGGCTTTAGGTTGGGAAGAAGGGCAGCAATGAAATGTGGCTGTAGTCCAGGAATAG